CAGACTGAATGTTAGAAGTGGCTACTCCTCATGAGTCTGTAGTCCCAGCTACTTGTGAGGCTAAGGCAGGAGAATTGCTTGAACTTAGGAGGCGGAGATTGCAGTGAGCCCAGATCACACCACTGCACTCCAGCCTGGGTGACAGAGCTTTTTGTTTTGTTTCATCTCAAAACAAAAAGAAGTGGCCACTCCTACGTGGCCTGCACCCTCAACTATTCTTTGACCTTGTCTTCGAAGCTGCTTGCCCACATGCCACATGCAGTCCTCTCTCCTCCATGTGGTTAGCCCACAAGCACAAGGAGCCCTTCATTTCAATGCTCCATCATTAAGCTCCAGCCAAGTGGGAAGTTGTCCAACAGAAAAGAAGATGATATTTTCCATCCTTATCGCCTATAAAAGGTTCCCAATTGGCTCAGCACTGAGGAAAGATGGGTTAGATTACCTACACACATGTCATTCTCAAATATATCAGCTGAAGAAAGAAATGGCTAAAGAATACACCTGTACCTATTGCATCTAAGTTAAGGGTAGGAAGATGTAAGTTTCAGGAATATTTATGATATCCCAAAACACAGAACTTGGCCAGATGCAATGGCTCATGCCTACAATGCCAGCACTTTGGGAGGCCGAGGCAGGAGGACTGCTTGAGCCCAGGAGTTTCAGCCTGCAGTAAGTTGTGATCATCTGGGTGACAGACCAAAATGCTCTCTCTAAATCAATCAATCACAAAACTAGCCTATGCCTTAATATAACATCTAGATAGCAACTTTTTATTCAGCTTCTCCCTGCTTCCCACAAAGCATAAACACATTGAAAGTAAAAAAATTATTAATGCTAAGATTTAAAATTGGCAAATTAATTCTAGAATTGAGAAGGAGTTTCCATCAACTACCATGTTTCTGAACTGTGTCGAAACGCAAGGACCACGTATTCACAAGGAATGCAGTGGGCGGGGGGGGGGGGTGCGGGTTGCGGAACTTAAGGACCAATGCTTGTTTGTAGCTGGAAATCAGACAGACCAGCCTGCATCTCAGTTCAAAGACCTAGGGTTTGTATCAGAACATTGCAGAGCAGAAACGCCTCCCAGCTGGCCAGCTCGCACCTCTCAGGCAGACAGGATAGCCTGAACCTCAAAACCTTTATTTCCACAATATTCTCAGATCCTCAGGAATTATAGGGCAGAGGGAGGAGGAGAAGAATCACTTATGTGTTAAGGTGACATATAACACACTGGGAAAGCTCCTAGCACATTACAGGGAAGGGTGTACACAATAAGTGGCCTGGAGATGGTTTTCTATGTTCTCCTTCAGCTCATCTCCCTGGGAAAACTAGGCAAAACATCAGATCCATTTAAAGACCTCCAGGCACTGAAAACTGGGCCCGCTACCATCTATACGAGGAGCCACCAACTGAACCTTCGAGAAGGACAGTATCAAATGCAAACGGGTGCATGACTGGGGGAAAAGCACACCGCAAACTGATCTCCAAATGTCAACTCTCAGGCCTAATTTTACTGGATCTCTGGGAAGCATGTGACATGACAGGTCTCTCCCTCCTTAAAATACAGACTTGACTTGGCTTTCAGGGCACCAGGGTCTTGGTTCTCTCTCGTGCTCACTTTTCTGCATCTCTGATCTCTAGTGCTGGAGGGCCTCAGGATTCAGTCCTTGGACATCACCCCCACTTCAGTTACAGTCAGATCCAGGTGATGTCCTCCCAATTCTCAGCTGAAAGTCCGTCTACACACTGATGACTCTACATTTATATCCCCAGCCTGGGCTTCTCCCTGGCATAGCCAGCTGACCACTCAACACTGCTATTGAGGTATCTGATAGATGGCTCAACCTCACAACTCAAGTTTTAAAAACCAAACCTCTGATCACCCTACCTGAAGGTACTCTACCCGTAACCGTCTCCATTTCAGAAAAAGGCAATTCCATTTTTCCAGCTCCTCAGGCCAACATTTCAGATTCATCTTTGACTCTGCCCTTTTGGTTCATCCAATCTATGATCAAATTCTACCAGCTTCTCCTTCAGGACACACACACACACAACACACAACACACAACACACACACACAACACACACACACACACACACACACACACACACACACACCCCAAACTTCCCTCTCCTCACTACCTCCCCTGCACCCACCCTGTTGAAGCAAATGTCATCTTTTGCCTGGATAAGTTCAATAGGCTCCAAAATGGCCTCCCTGCCTTTGCCTTTGTCCTTCTGCAGGCTTGTTCGTACAGCAGTTTCTAGCAGGACTTTGAACACATCAGTCAGTTCATTTCATTCCTCTGCTCAGAATCCTGTCTTCCTATTCCATTTAGAGTAAGAGCCCATGTCCTGCAGTGACTGCTGCTCTGTGCCCTCTACTTCCCCACGGCTCCTAAACCCTCCCCACTCACTCCACTCAACCATGCTTGCTCCTTGGACACATCAAATACTTTTCTGTGTCAAGACTTGTCACTTGCTGTTGCCTGTGTCTGGAATGCTTTTCCATCAAGTCTGTTTTGCTCCCTCATTTCTTCAGGCTTTGGCCCAAATATCAAAAGGCTGTCCCTGAGCACCTGTACACAAAAGCACCGTCAAACTTCCATTTCCAGCACTTGCATCCTTCTTATCCCGTATTTGTTCTTTGTTGCTCTCATCACAACGTGAATGTTATTTTTTCATGTATTGTTTTATCACCTCTCTCAACCGGAAAAATAAGACCAGTCAGAGCCAAGACTTTATATTTCTTCACTGTTCTACCCATGGTGCCTAAAGCAGTACCTGGAGCATAAAGTAAGAATAAAAAAAAAAATCGTTGAAGGGCTGGACCCTTCCCTTGTACCTAGGTGAAGTAACAAATACCCAGGGGCACATGCACATGCATGTTCATTGTGGCACTGTTCTCAATGGCAAAGACTTGGAACCAATCCAAATGCCCATCAATGATAGACTGGATAAAGGAAATGTGGTACATATACACCATGGAATACTATGTAGCCATAAAAAAGGCTGAGTTTATGTCCTTTGCAGGGACATGGATAAAGCTGGAAACTATTATTCTAAGCAAACTGACACAAGAACAGAAAACCAAACACCACATGTTCTCACTCATAAGTGGGTGTTGACCAATGAGAACACATGGACACAGGAGGGGAACATCACACACTGGGGCCTGTGGGTGGGCGGGGGGTAGGGGAGGGATAGCAAGGGGTGGCAGGATAGGGGAGGGATAGCATTAGGAGAAATATCTAATGTAGACAGCGGGGTGATGGATGCAGCAAACCACCATGGCAAACGTACACCTATGTAACAAACCTGCACGTTCTGTACATGTACCCCAGAACTTAAACTATATATATAGAATATGGTGAATATCCATATACCCATCACTTACATTCTACCATTAACATTGTGTTATACTTTATTATGACTATATACCTTAAAGTTTTTCTATTTTTTTCATTAAAGGTTTAACTCCCCCACCTCGCAAAAAAAAAAAAAAAAAAAAAAAAAAAAAAAACACCCAGAGGTTTACATAAATGTAGAGCCAGTATCCTAGAAGAAAATAGCCCTGAAAATTGTACTTATAATTTGTACTAATGGAAATGTTACCACTAAGACAATGTGAAAAATGAGGAAAAAGTCATCAGAAGACAAGAGCAGATGAAAAGACAAAAGGCTTAGATGAAAAGGAGCGAAGGTCAGAAAGGATGTTGGATAAGGAAACTAAAATGATGGGAGAATTAAGGCATGCTCTGGGGACAGCTGAAAACAGAATCAACAAGGCAGAAACTGATAGTGGTCTCTTCATTCATTAATTCAACCACTGCATACTGAGGGCCTCTGCATATACATCAAACAGAGAACAAGGAAAAAGAAACGTATCTTCTTGAACGTGCGTGAGATGAACAAGCCCATGTGCTGCTTATCGGAGCCCAAGCCAGCACTGCCTTTCTGGAAACCACGTGGGCAATATATACGATGGGTATCTTAAAACTCATCATCTCTGAGAAACTATTTCATGTCTATGAAAATAATATAAAGAAATAGAGACGATCATAGAGTATCATAGAATTTACATTTATATATAACATGCATATTAAAATTTTCCATATTAGAAACAACTGAAAAATACACAGTAATGGAATTATCAACTAAATATTACCAGGGCCAAACAATGGAGCACTATGCAACCATGAAAAAAGATAAAAATAATTTTAAGAACATGGAAAAATTCACAATCCATAGATACTTACAGGTAAATAATTATATGCAGAAAGAATTCAAACACAGAGCTCTTGTCTTTGGAATTTGGGATTCCGAATTACGTACGTTATGCTTTGGGGCATTTGAAAAGTTATCCTCAAGGAATATATAATTACTTAATGATCAGAAGAGTAAGTGCTAAATAAAATTTTTGCCTCCCACATTAACATTTCTCATATATTTTGAAACTATTCCAACACAGTTCTCAGTTCCTAGAATTGTCCATTCCACTTACATTATAAGAGATTCCAGTAAATTTAAATGTTTGCCCAAAGCATGCTAAGGTTTTGTATTCTTGCATTCCTGCTCCAGATTTTTGAAACAAGACACAACATTTTATATATAAATATATATTTTATAGATATTCTATACTCACTGTGGTTTTCTCCTTTTATCATGGGGTAGTAAAAGAAAATATTTTATTCAAATAATCCAACAATTCATCACTCTCACCATACAAATGTATTGTATCCAAAAACATATAACTTTATCAAAAATAAAGTTCCTTATTAAAATGTTTCAGTAAACACATCAAGACTGTGGCTTAGTTTCAAAGACATACACCATGTCAAAATTTGTCAAATTATACACTTTAAATATATGCACTTTATTATATCAATTATACCTTGGTAAAGCTACTAAAACACAACATCCAAAAAGGCCACATACTGAAATATGACAAAAAGGCCTAAAGTCAGACACACACGCCAAAGAAAAAGAAGACCCACTCCTTAAATGCATCAGCAAGTTTATTTACAAATGCAGTTGAACAGAAAGGCTCACCAGTTTCTGGAGAAGACTTCTAGTATACAAACCATGGCTATTTTTCATTAATGAAAATAAGCAGCTTTCTATTGGGAATTACTTAGCAACATTTCTGGTAAAGAAAATAGAGCTCCCTCATCAAGCAAATAAATGGTACATTAGCTACATTTTTAAAAACCAGAATACATAGGTAGAAGGAAGGATACAGAAAGCACATTTGGGGATAGATTTTACTGAAATTTTCCATATGGTTCTGCATTAATTTAGAACACATTATAATAAACAGAGCAAATGCAATTACATATTTATATTAACTATTTCAAATAATGTTTAAGAACCTTTTTAAAAAAAAAACAATAAAATATCCTCTTCAAAACACCATTAACTAGAAAGTCAAACTAGATCATTATCTGCCTCAAAAATATTCTTAAGCTCTTATTTTTTTCCTTGTGCTTTTAAGATGCTGAATTCAACAATACTGCACTTTTCCCCACACATAATTACCTTATAAATAAACAACAAAACTACAAGTTCTACCAAGACTACAATGTTTCTATGTAATCTAAAGAGGCAAAAAAAAAAAAAGTTGTTTTTTTTTTAAAAAGCAGAAAAGACATACAACACATATTTATAGATCTACATCAGCAGCAACCGCCTCTTCTATCTGCAGCAGTGCTTTCGCATCGAGGTTTACATCACATGGCGGTTGGCCGTCCAGCTGATCGGGCAAGGAGAGAAGAAAGAAAAGAGCTTAGATTCAGAGACGTGAATATTGCCACCTGGGATACATAGCAGTCATCACTCAGAAAGTGGCCCAATGAGGTAGAAAGTGTCACCTGTCACTCACTCTTAGGGTAAAGCTAGGCAAATCGCAGTGTCTGGTCTCTGGAATTCTTTATTTGTAAAAATGGAGTAAAAATGAACAACTCATGCCAGGCGCGGTGGCTCACACCTGTAATCCCAGCGCTTTGGGAGGCCGAGGCGGGTGGATCACGAGGTCAAGAGATCAAGACCATCCTGGCTAACATGATGAAACCCTGTCTCTACTAAAATTACAAAAACTTAGCCAGGCACGGTGACACACACCTGTGGTCCCAGCTAATCGCGAGACTGAGGCAGAAGAATTGGTTGAACCCAGGAGGTGGAGGTTGCATGGAGCCGAGACTGCGCCACTGCACTGCAGCCTGGTGACAGAGCAAGACTCCGTCTCAAAAAAAAAAAAAAAAAGAACCACTCACAATAGAAATAAATTACACTCAACTCTCTATTATTTGTTTTGGAGGAGAGAAAAGGCATGGGCAATTTTACAATGATGATTCCAGAAATCATTTCTATTTGGCTTTGGAATTTGATGAGATAGAAAAAACACACACACACATACACACACCCACCAGTACATGCCCAGCCTTGAATTTCTCCAACCTCAGCATCAGCATCCAGGAAAGGACTGGACTGCTGCAGCAGGAAGGCTCAGAACCCACCGACAGATAAGAGAGAGTTGACTGGACTTAAATCACTTCCAAAGCACTCTTCACATAGGGGCCATACAAATACCTCAGAGCTCAAAAGCAAATGGTTTTGCTGATACCACTTGTAACACCCTTTCACAATAAGGAAGAAACAGAAGTTACCAGCATCAAGGTTTAAAATATAAACAGCAGTAATGGTTGTCTTGCTGTAGCTATACACAATACACAACCTAGTTCTGCCAGTCTACCTTTTATAACACACAAATACATGCTTAGAGGCAAAGTAGCATTTGAAGTTTTTGAAAACTCATTACTTCCAAAAATGACACTGAAATACCGCAGTTAATACTTTCCTTTTAAAATTATATATTGATATGTATTAACATAAAGCATAAGCTGACTTATTTTGTATTACATAGAACAATAGTTTTTAAAGCTGGTCATATTCTAAATCACATAATCAAAGCCCATTGTTAAATAATAGAAATAAGTTGATGATGAGAGACCAATCTTTAGTCAAGACTATAGCCTACACAGGAGATTCATTTAACTCTTCTGGTTTGTATTCTTGAGTCATTAAAGGTCTCTACAGACCCTGGGCAGATGACACGAGACACCATCCTGACTTTCAGGAACATGTTCCTCTCCATTCCTTAGCCCCACAGCCCACTCCTGTGTAGCTGGAACCCTGAACAGTGACCCATTCTATATACAGCATTGAAGGGAACACACTACCATTCCTGAAACCTGGACTCCTACGGCAGTGAACTTGAAGGGGAGCTGGCTGCACGTTCAGGGAAATGCAGGGGAACCCGTGGTCTCCTTAAAAGGCAAGAAATTTTCTCTCTGATTTGCTCTCTTACATTTGAATCTGAGATAGCAGTCATTGCAGTACAGTTGGTGGTTTCTGATTCTAACTTCGGCTCCTGAGGAAGAGCCTCCGAGGTCACACTGACAGGCAACACACTGGGGAACAAAAAAAAAGAACACCCACAATCAGTCACAGCTCAAGAAAGCTTGGGGCACTCCTGGGGGTGGGGGGGTGGAATGAGCAGAACGCTGCTTCTAAGCTCTTAGATACATTTCAGCAAAGAAAAAAAAAGGCCAAAAGACGATTAGTAGATTAAAATAAAGCCTGCCAGATAGGATGTTAAAGAATTCATAAAGCCAATATTAAGAGCCAAGATGATCAGTCTAAATATACTCCCCCAAAATAAAAATAATTTGCTGATTGACTTAAAGAAATTTAGTAGAAAAAACTAAATTCCCCCTAGAGGAATGGCAGATAAGGCCCCTCATGAAAGAACTGGCCATTGTGAATGAAGATGGGGCTCCGGCCCTCCACCCTGAGGTGGGCCGCTCCCAGTGCCCCTGCTGCACTAGCTTAGCGAGCGTTCTCACACAGTGCCTCACTTGAAGGCTGGGTATTTCAATTCCACGTACCCAAACTCTAATTATCTTGACTCATTCTGCTCTGCCTAGGAACAGCCCAAGCCAGCAACGTACAAACTTAAACAAGCTGTGGTCTGCGGGCCTCCAGGATCAACAACCAGAATGCTTCTCTGGCCTAGTGCAAGTTCAAGAATTAAACAGCCATGTCTTTAGAGACAGATATTACAAAACCAGTTACAGCCTTAGTTTCTTCCTAGGAAGAAAAACCTAGCAGGTATAAGCAGGCTGTGCAATTATAAAAATAGCTACAATGGTAATGGTTTTCCTTATATATTCTTCTTACTCAAAGCTAGGTTTTCAGACACTATGATAATTGCACGTGTTCCTGCCCTTAACAGTACTAGCAGGTTATTGGTAAATTATATTTCAAGGATGCCTCTGACAGCATCCTGGAGAAAGCAACATACGTACTGTAAATGTATAGGATTCTAACAGATTAGAAATAGAAAATGCAAAATTTTTCCAGATTTCAGTTTTAAAACAAGGTTCAAGATTTGAGAACTAGGGAGTAGCAAGCAATTTGTGATTCAAATGCAGCACAGACTGACGAATACAGCACCTAGCTTGTTAGTGGCACATCTACACCCAGCGGCTCAAAGAAGCCATGCGCTCTCCAAGCAAAGCTTTGCAGGCCTGCAAGCTGTTTGTCTCAGTCTCACCTTAAAACAATGCAAATGATAACAAAGACCCAGGGACTCGATGATCATGGCGGCTCCTTTGCCCAGAATGTTATTGCAGTAGGAGCATACGCGCTTCCCACTGACTGACCTAGATGCAGAACAAGAATGGAATGGAGGCTTTCACCTGGGCAGCTCAAGATTCTTCTTTAAAGTCACACTCTGGTATTAACATTGATAATAACTTACGAAAAGCTCTATACACGTATCTGTGGGAGCATAACCTTTACCAGCCAACTAAAGAATGCCTTGATTATACTCTAACCTTGAACCATCTCCATGGCAGCTCCAAGGCCCTTGACACCTACTCACATAAATGAGCAATTTCAGTGTAATTAGTCCATCCAGCAGTTTCTGATGCTATCCTTCCTTTGATCACCTCTGTACTCAGCAACAGTCTCCCCTCGTCTCATCCACCTACATCTTCTTGCCAGTTAAACCAAGGCACACAATGCTGATCATGTCCTTCCGACCCCCTCAGAACACCAAAAGAGTGGCCTCAACTTCCTTCGAGAGGCTTTGCAAGTCCTCTATGACCTATTTTCTCAGCCTTATTTTTCACCCTCTTCCTTGGTCACCCAGTTTTCTAGTTAAACATAAATGCCAGTGTTTTCTTCACCATCCATTTGGCTTACAGGACTGTCTCTGTGAGGAAGAAAATGAAAAGGAACTGACAGCTGCCATGGACAGAGGAAAGGAGGATTTCTACTCTACTTTTGGATAAAGATCTTTTCTCCTCTTCCGATTGGTAAGGTGGCACCTGCGCTTCCATACCTCTGCACCCCCACGGCATGAGTACAGCACTTCAGAGGGCCACCTCCTAGATCAGGACCTTCTTAGGTCAGTAAAGCCCTCAGCCCATCCCTCTGCTCTCCCAGAGTGGGCCTCTCAGCCAGTAAATGGGTCCCCTCTCCTCTGCCTTCCTCTCTTCCCATAGACTGGACCTCCCCACCATACCCAATTTACCCTAAAACCTCACCTCTGTTCTCTCAATTCAAACTCATTGATACACACTTTATATCCCAGTACCTGTAAAATTATTTTGGATTTATATAAAACATGTTTTCTTGTGAGTCTCTGATCTGATAACTTTAAAAAGTTCCAATATTAATCAATGTGTTTCTATTTTTAAGTATTCCACTTGTGGTGGAAATGAGTAAATGCCAACAGCACTCTCTTGTGGTGATGAGAGCAGCACTGCCTGATGTACCTACATGAGGCATGAACGATCTGTGGAGAAGCTACCCAGATCTAAAGACCCAGGCAGGGCTGATATCTGAGCTTCACTCCACATAAAAAAATAACACCCTATCACAACATATACACTTCCCACGCCATATGCCCTACCAAATCCAGCTGATGTAGCCTGAGCAAAACATGGGCAAACAGAATGGCCAAGCAATGATTTTGGCAATCAAAAACCCCAAAAGCAAGATCTAAATGACTTCACATTTCTTTCATCCAGCTAGTTAAAAGTCCCCCAGACAACGGAGCATGCCTGGAAAAGCACTGTAATGCTCTTCTTTCACACTCAGTTCCTACGAGTCTGTATGACACTATTATGAAAATAGTCAGATATTTGACCAGACTGCTTTCCCTCAGAAATTTGAGAGGTGTTCATGAGCTGCTATATGTTTTTATGATTCCACACCAAGAAGTATTCAGCTACATCTTACATCCAAGACATTGACCACAAGCACAGGCAAATGAGACAGTAGCAACAGGTAGACGTCTTCAAGGTCTCCGGTGGCTTCACAAGACATCTAGAAATGCTGTTAGAGTTGCATGGAATGGGATTGAGCAAGCCTTCATTATTTTCATACAAGAATACCAAGTCTGACACATTCAAAAGGGCTTCTTTTTCTTTTTAGTTGGAAAACTTGGACAGGATTTCAGGGATATTTCAATGAAAAAATATCCAAGGCTAAGAGAAGAAAGAGAAACAAGGAGGGCCTCACCTGTTGCGCAGCTGAGAGCCTGCCTGTGACGCTGAAGGGGAGTGGCTTCTCGGGGTGGGGGACTGTGTGGCGGCCACACCTGTGGTGGAGGTCTTCGTGGGGCTGGCTGAAGGCGGGGGCACGCTGGAGGAGGGGTTCCGCATGTAGGCACGGTTTGATGTGGACACCAGCTGACGCGGTGGGCGACTAAAGTCTTGCACGGAGGAAGAAGCATAGAATCCTGTGGGCTGATTAAGCCAAGGGGGCTGTCTCCAAGAATTGGATCTGGGGGAGTCCAGGTTATCTAAAGATTCGCCTCTGAAACACAAAAAGAGACTCATCAAAATTACGTGATATATTCAGCTAGAAATCTATTTGATTCATCATTCCATTCATTGAAAATCCATTTTATATATTTTATGTCAGGGGAGTAACCTAAGTATTCTAGTTACATACACAGATGTTTCTCGATGTATGATGATGGGGTTATGTCCCAATCAACCCATCACAAGGTGAAAATACTGTAAGTCAAGAATGCTTTTAATTCACCTAAACTACCATATATCGTAACTAAGCCTCACACACCTCGATCATGTTCAGAACACTTACCTTAGCCTCCAGTTGGGCAAAATCAATGAACACAAAGTCTGTTTTACAATAAAGTGTCAAATATACAACTTACTGAATACCGTACTGGAAGAAAACAACAGACTGGTCATGGGGTACTCAAAGTACAGTTTCTCCAAATGCTTATCACTTTCACATCATTATAAAGTCAAAAATCTTAAGTTGAACCATTGAAAGCCGAGGACCCACCTGTAAAATTACCTTTAACAAGCAAAGTGGATCTTCATCGTCAGTGGCACCATGTTTCATAGTTAATCAACCTTCTTCCTTTTTGTTTTAATCTGTTTTTCTTTCCAACTTTTATTTTAGGTTTAGGGGACACATGCGCAGGTTTGTTACATGGGTAAATGAGTGTCATGGTGGTTTGGTGTAGATTATTTCATCACCCAGGTAATAAGCAGAGTACCAGAGAGGTAGTTTTTTGATCCTCAACCTCCCGCCCTGCACCCTCAAGTAGGCTCTGGTGCCTACTGTTTCCTTCATTGTGTCCATATGTACTCAATGTTTAGCTCCCACTTACAAGTGAGAACACCTTTATTTATTTTTATTTACTTGGTGCTTAGCTAAAAGAATAAATACCATCCAAAGAAGAAAGAAAAACACTAAGAAAAATATATAAAAATAAAAGCTAATGCTCTGCGAAGTCTAAGAAAATACTTATCCTTTAAATCTTCGTTTACACGTATCAACCAGAAAGTCTTAAAAATTCAAAGAAATATTTTCAAAGCTTAAATATGACAGGCATTAGGTTAGACACTTTCACAAAAATATTAAACTTATTGAATCTTCACAACACTAAGATTTTTTTTAAACTCATAGAAGTGAGTTTCTCATAGGAAGAGCCAGTCAGTGGGAGCACTGGCTTTCACACTACAGACCATGCCTCCTGTAAAGATCTGATTTATGTATCACCGAATCCCTAAATTTAGCAACTGTTTAATGTCTACATTATAGGAGCATTTATCATGCACATCTCTTAAAGTACATAAGCTTTTAAAATCAGATTTAGCTCCCAAATGGATTTAAATACAGCTTTTGGGAAAATCTCTCTTAAAAGTTGTGTACAAAAATGAACTCAAAATTATAAAAATTTGTCTACCTGGTCAAATTTCTTTTTATTGCTTTCAAAACTTTCTCTTATCCCAAGCTTGATTTTTTAAATTTTAACATTATAAAAGTGATACATTATCATAAGGAGAAAGACTGAAACTGCAGAGAAAGACATCTGAGGGAGAAGAAAAGTCCTTCCTCTCTTACGACTCACCCGCCCTAATCCACAGAGGTAACCAGCATTAACTGTGTGTCCTTCCAGACGCTTTCTCACACATGCCAGCACATACTTACATGCACATGCAAATTTACATATGTAAGTATAGATGTGTCTATATACATATGCAATGTGTTTAATACTCTTAAACAAATGGATTACTCCACAACACAGTTTCGATAACTTCTTTTCCATTTAAAATGTATTATCTTAGAACTCTCGTCATTCTGCTCATATGATAAACTATACTTCAGTGGCCTCCAGTGAACCACACCTTTTGGTATCCATGCCCTTATGCAGTCCCCTCCCACTGACTCTGGGCTTGGTCACATGATTAATTTGGCCAATGGGGCATCAGCAAACATGATGCACACGGCGGCTTGATAAGCCCTTGCTTATTAGCCATTGCCTTGGTGCAAGCTCTGCCTCTTTGAATCCAAGTCCCATGCCATGGGGCAGCCCAAACAACTATGTGGAGAGGCCCATATGCAGAACACAGGCCCCTCAACTAGTAGCTCTGGCCGAGCTCTCAATGAAGCCTCTACAGCTACAGGAGACAGCAAATTACAGCCTGCTGCCAAGATAGACACAGCTCATGAGCTGAGACCACTTTTCACATTTTCAAAGTCTTAAAAAAAAAAAAAAACAATATGTGACAGAAACCTATGTGGCCTGCAAACCCTAATATCTGGTCCTTATGCATAAAATCTTACCAACACCTACTGTAAATGACTACAGCTGCTCAAGTGCCCCAGCCAACATCATGCAAAGAACTGCCCAGTCAATCTGCAGGACTGTGAGAGATTATGAATTATTGTCTTAACTCACTAAATTTGGAGGTGGCTTATTATGTAGCAACACTTTTCTTTCATTCTTCAATAATCTTACAGTATTCTAGCTTATCAGTATGGCACTATTTACTGAATAACTAGTGAGTATTCAGCAAACCGTGATTTTCTTGTAGTAGACAAGTGCTTTTCTTTTCTTACTAGGAGACACTGATTTTCTTTTGCCATTAACAAATAATGTGTACATCCTTGAATATACCTTTGCATATTTATCCAAATATATCCAGAAGACAGACTACTAGAAACTACATTGCTCAGAGAGTCAGATGTATACATTCTTGCTTAATACATACTAAAAAACTGTCCAACCAAGCGGAAACAAGAATTCCTATTTCCATATACAATTGTCAATACCAAGTTTAATCAATTTTAACTTTTTACAAATCCAGTAAGCAAAAGAGGTACATTCTTGGTTTAGTAGTAGTATTGATCTTTTATGTTTATTGGCTTTGTGTTTCTTCTTCCCATGAGCTGTCTGTTCATATCCCTTTGCCTATTTTTTTTTTTTTTTTGGGAGACACAGTCTCTTGCTCTGTCACCCAGGCTGGAGTGCAGTGGCATGATCTCGGCTCACGGAACCCTCCACTTCACGGGTTTCAGTGATTCTCCTGCCTTAGCCTCCCGCATAGCTGGGATTACAGGCACACATCTATTTTTTATAGAGTTTGTAGGAATAACTTTCTGATTTCTATAAAGTTATTAATATATTGATATAATTAGCTCTTTCTCTGTGATATGTTACATATAGTATTCCCCAGTCTGATTCCCCAATCAGAGTAGCTGCAGGATTCATTTACATAGATACATCTTTTAAAATATTCCTCTACTCATTTCCAACTAGTATCTCTATCTTTATCTTCCATAAAGTTATAAAAACTAGGCTGATTGCTTTTTTAACACAATTATCATGATTCCCATCTAATCATTATCTCATTATAAATATGAAAAGATGAAACTTCTATTTGTTGAAGTTCAGCAGCCAAGACAGTTATAAGAGCAGTGTGTATTACTTAAGCATCTGAACCCTCACTTCGGAGGTCCCCATCCAGATCTGCAACCTAGTAACTATGGAATTTTGTCAGTGTCTTCCCTGCACGAGCCAAAGTTTCCTCATATTAAAAAACAAACAGATTATCCCTACCTCAAAACATTTTCCTCAGATTAGATGAGGTCATGTAAACCCAGTAACTGGCTGACACATAACAGTCCCCCAAGGAGTTTGCTCTGTTCCCTTCATCTTTTCTGTCTAAAGCACCAGCATGTCTACAAATTAAATATTTCCCTCTTAGTAAAGACAAGAAAACAACTCCTAAGATGTCTCTCACCTTCTCATGACCCCAGGAACACAAATAGGATCTTTGTTGACACTAGCACTGCGCTGTCGGATCCAGCTGTTATCATTGTGAAGGGGTGTTCGCTTCCTCATTTCCAGAAGGATTTGTTGCCTCTCCAACTCTGCTTCTGATGGTACTTGTTCTTTCTTGGAACTCCTCTGTGAAGTGGTCGTGTTCCCAATTCGGTCTAAATATTTACTGCTTCCTAAATTAAAAAGAAATCAAAAGCTTCCGGATTAGTACACTTTAAAAGTGACGGTGATGATTGACATCACTAATGATCAGGAAAATGCAAATAAAAACCATAATGTGATACCACCTTACTCCTTCAAGAATGGCCAGAATCTAAACATCAAAAAATAATAGATGCTCGTGTGAATGTGGCGAAAAGGGAACACTTCTACACTGCTGGTGGGAATGTAAACTAGTACAACCGCCATGGAAAACAGTGTTCAGCTTCCTTGAGGAACTGAAAGTAGAACTACCATTTGATTCAGCAGTCCCACTACTGGTATCTACCCAGAGGAAAAGAAGTCATTCTACAAAAAATGTCGTTGCCCACTCATGTTTAAAGCAGCACAATTCACAATTGCAAAAATGTGGAACCAACCCAAATGTTTATAAATCAATGAGTGGATAAAGAAAATGTGATGTATGTGTGTGTATACACACGCACACACCGTGGAACACTACTCAGCCATAAAAAGGATGAATTAATGGCATTTGCAGCAACCTGGATGAGATTGGAGACTGTTATTCTAAGTGAAGTAACTCAGGAATAGGAAGCCAAACATCGGATGTTCTCACTTATAAATGGGAGCTAAGCTACGAGGATGCAAAGGCATAAAAATGACACAATGGACTTCGGGGACTCAAGGAGAAATAGCAGGAAGGGGGTGAGGGATAAAATACTACAAATTCAGCTTAGTGTATAGTTCTTAAGAGATAAGTGCACCAAAATCTTATAAATCATTGCTAAAGAACTTAGTCGTATAACAAAACACCACCTGTTCCCAAAAACCTATGGAAATAGAAAATTTTAAAAATAAAAAATACCAATACGAAACGAGAGAGAGAGAGAAGTGATATAACAAGAAAATAAAATGTATCTGAAATTGCAGCCTCGAAAAATAATTAAATAAATAAAAAGTGACAGTGGATAAATCGCCCAATTGCATTGCAGCTTAAAATGCGGCATTGTGCATGTGTACTAACATTACCAATTCTCAGTGAGGGTGCTGCATGAGAACATAAAGTAACTGCCTCCTACTCCAAAAGGTCTAGTTCTACATCTAGAGCCACACCACAGAACAAACTCGGGAAAATGAACAAGGCCGCTCAAAAAGGAAACAATCAGTACTGGTTTCGGGATTACTTAGTTACAAAATGCTCATCTAGAGATAGTTTTTCTTCCACTCTTCTTTTCTCACATTAAATCAATCAAGAACATGCTCAAATCCTTGCTGTGACAACTCTAAAAGGAAACAGGAAGTTTTCTTCTCTCAAACAAATATAGCTCTCCCCTGGGGAGAGAGGACATAAATGCATGTATCTTTAGCTGACATGACCCAAGTGTGCATGGTGTAAGTGACAACCAAAATTTTAAGAAGCACATACAATCATTGAAATGGATTTTGTGAAAGGGAAAAATATTCAAGCAGTCCAAATAATCATCCATAAACATTATTATGTTTATCATTTGGGTTGGTTCCACATTTTTGCAATTGTGAATTGTGCTGCTATAAACATGAGTAAGCAACTACCTTTTTTGTAGAATGACTTCTTTTCCTCTGAGTAGATACCCAGTAGTGGGATTTCTGAATCAAATGGTAGTTCTACTTTCAGTTCTTCAAGGAAGCTAAACACTGTTTTCCATAGTGGTTGTACTAGTTTACATTCCCACCAGCAGTGTAGAAGAGTTCCCTTTCACCACATTCACACCAGCATCATGTATGATAACATTTATGGATGACTATAATGCTTCTACTCTAAGAAAATGACACAAATACAATTTGAATGAATTTATTCGTAACAATTAAGTCAGGTTGTATCCTGAGGACTTTGTCTCTTGGATTTGGTTATTAGTTTCTGATTGGGGTAAAACACCCACAACTCTCACATATCATTCCCACCTTAATCTGGATTAGGAAATCTCATCTAAGGATTTATTTTCTTTCTTTCTCTATATTTACTGCTGCTGCTATTCTTTCGAAATTTATTGTTTGTCTATGCCTTGACCAAATGAGCAAGATCAGTTTCTTATATAACTGTATTTACATTTGTGTATATATAAAGCTTATCAATTTGGTCAGACTTTAAATAAATATTGTCTTTTTTTTTTTTTTGAGACAGAGTCTTGCTCTGTTGCCAGGCTGGAGTGCAGTGGCATGATCTCTGCTCACTGCAACCTCCCCCTCTCGGGTTCAAGTGATTCTTTGCCTCAGCCTCCTGAGTAGCTTTGATTACAGGCGTGCCCCACCAGGCTTGGCTAATTTTTGTATTTTTAGCAGAGACGGGGTTTCACCATGTTGGTCAGGCTGGCCTCAAACTCCCGACCTTGTGATCCACCCACCTTGGCCGCTCAAAGTGCTTGGATTACAGGCATGAGCCACTGCGCCCAGCCTCTTTTTAAAATGTCTTTTTGGTATAACCAAGTTTTTAAACCAAATATTTAATAACTTCCACTGCCTGCTATCCAAGAGCTTGCAATGAGTTAATGAAGGGGGGAAACATACATACAAAATAATCCGATTAATGATACAAATCACAAATATTAACAAGATTATTCTGGAGATTCACAGTTGCCGTTACTAACAGGTCTTGTGTTTAAGTTCAGGAGAGATAATCACTGCAGGTTAGAAATATTTCATGGAATATAGAAGTACTTAAACTATAATTTTAATGGTGGCTAAAGGCAAGTTCATCTGGCACTAGACAAGGATGCCCTCTCTCACCACTCCTATTCAATACAGTATGGGAAGTTCTAACCAGAGCAATCAGGCAAGAAAAAGAAATAAAGGAGGAAATCAATTAGGAAAGGAGGAAGTCAAATTGTCTCTATTTGCAGATGACATGATTGTATATTTAGAAGACCCCATCGTCTCAGCCCAAAATCTCCTGAAATTGATAGGCAACTTCAGCAAAGTCTCAGGATACAAAATCAATGTGTAGAAATCACAAGCATCCCTATACACCAATAACAGACTTAAAGAGAGCCAATTCAAGAATGAACGGCCATTCACAATTACCACAAAGAGAATAAAATACCTAGGAATAAAGCTAACAAAGAATGTAAAGGACCTATTCAAGGAGAACTACAAACCTCTGCTCAAGGAAATAAGAGAGGACACAAACACATGGAAAAACATTCAATGTTCATGGTTAGGAAGAACCAATATCGTGAAAATGGCCATACTGCCCAAAGTAATTTATAGATTCAATGCTATTCCCATCAAGCTACCTCTGACCCTCTTCACAGAACTGGAAAAAAACACCTTAAACTTCAGATGGAACCAAAAGAGAGCCCACATAGCCAAGACAATTCTAAGCAAAAAGAACAAAGCGGGAGGCATCACACTACCAGAATTCAAACTATACTACAAGGCTACAGTAATCAAAACAGCATGGCACTGGTACCAAAACAGAGATACAGACCAATGGAACAGAACAGAGGCCTCGGAGGCAATGCCACACATCTACAAACATCTGATCTTTGACAAACCAGACAAAAACAAGCAATGGAGAAAGGATTCCATGTTCAATAAATGGTGTTGGGAAAACTGGCTAGCCATGTGCAGAAAGCTGAAACTGGACTCCTTCTTGACACCTTACACTAAAATTAACTCCAGATGGATTAAAGACTTAAACATAAGGCCGAACACCATATAAACCCTAGAAGAAAACCTAGGCAAAACTATTCAGGACATAGGCATAGGTAAGGACTTCCTGACTAAACACCAAAAGCATTGGCAACAAAAGCCAAAATAGACAAATGGGATCTAATCAAACTCCAGAACTTCTGCACAGCAAAAGAAACAATCGTTAGAGTGAACTGGCAACCAACAGAATGGGAAAAAATTTTTTGCAATCTACCCATCTGACAAAGGGCTAATATCCAGAATCTACAAAGAACTAAAACAGATTTACAAGAAAAAAACAACAAACCCATTCAAAAGTGAGCAAAGGATATGAACAGACGCTTTACAAAGGAAGACATACACGAGGCCAACAAACATGAAAAAAAGCTCATCATCACCGGTCATTAGAGAAATGCAAATCAAAACCTCACTGAGATACCATCTCATGCCAGTTTGAATGGCGATCATTAAATCTGGAGACAGATGCTGGAGAGAATGTGGAGAAATAGAAAAACTTTTACACTGTTGGTGGGAGTGTAAATTAGTTCCACCATTGTGGAAGACGGTGTGGCAATTCCTCAAGGACCTTGAAATAAAAATTCCATTTGACCCAGCAATCTCATTACTGGGTATATATCCAAAGGATTATAAATTGTTCTGTTTTAAAGACACATGCACACGTATGTTCATTGTGGCACTGTTTACAATAGCAAAGATCTGGAACCAACCCAAATGTCCATCTATGAAAGACTGGACAAGGAAAATGTGGCACATATACACCATGGAATACTATGCAGCCATAAAAAATGATGAGTTTGTGTACTTTGTAGGGACATGGATGAATCTGGAAACTATCATTCTCAGAAAACTGACACAAGAATAGAAAATCAACCACTGCATGTTCTCACTCATAGGCAGATGTTGAACACATGGAGACAGGAAGGGGAGCATCACACACTGGTCTGTTGTGGGGGAATAGAGGAGGGACAGCAGGGGGGTAGGGAGGTTGGGGAGGGATAACATGAGGAGAAATGCCAGATATAGGTGACAGGGGGATTGAGGCAGCAAACCACATTGCCATGTATGTACCTATGCAATAATCCTGCATATTCTGCACATGTACCCAAGAACCTAAAGTGCAATTAAAAAAAAGGGATCCCTTAAGGGAAAAATAGCTCCTCTGGAAAGTTAAACTAGAACCAGATAACAAAGGTCCTAACTGTTCAAAGAAAGGGAAAATCATAGAACTGTAAAGCTCAATAAAAACTAAGTTTTATAAGCTTTGACCAGAGGTTAAAAACTAGCTACCACTAGAGTATTTGGCCTGTAGATAGGTTGTTTTGCTCACAGAGGATTTTAGTTTTTTTTAAAATCTCTTTTCAGCACATAAAAGGTAACACATGAAAACAGGTATATACTTTTTTTTTTAACTTTTCTGTTACAACAGGAAGAGTAAGCAATCAGAGGCTTGCCTTCTCCAGCATGGCAATGATAGATAGGCTGGAGCTGGGCAGTGACTGTCCATCTTGATGGGCATGTCTACCTAAGCCTTACCTGGACCTTCATTCATTCATATAAATGACCAGCCACCCGCTTATGCAAGTCCTGAGATGCAAACCCTGCTTAAAATGGTAATTATTGCTTAGGGTTTTTTTCATACATATATAATTTCAGTTATATGCATTCTTCAGAAATATATTTTATACTAACAATGTCAAGTCCTAATTGTTTTTGCACAATTAGTGAAGTCATAATTTTTTCGTTTTTTGATATTTTGGCATGTACATAATTCAGGTTAGTATGCAATTTTAAGTCCTCCAGTATTTCATAGAAATCTTTTCTGTACCATTTCTTCAGCTGCAAGACAAAATCTACTATATGCAACTGCATCAGCACCACTTTGCAAAATTCCCACATATTTCATTAGCAATTTAAAAGCCATTTTAATCTCCCTGTATTTTTTCCAATGTAAAATAAAGCCAAAATAAACACAAGACAGTTGTTTTGTTGTTTTTATATACAGAGGTTAAAATACTAAGTATTTTAATTATGTAATCTTAATGAATATGAAATATCTTGACCTTAGAAAATACTTATCATAACATAGCACAAATAAGTAATTATGAAGGAGTGTGGGGGGGAAAATCACATTTACCATTTTTATTTGTGGAGTAATTATCCAGTTCAGTAGTAGATCTGGATTTATTCCTAAAATACAAAACACAATATATTAAATATGTCTCATTAATAACATCTTTTTTATTTATGAAGTAAAAACGCCAAAGAGATTGCTTTTTAAAGCATTTGATTTATTTTGTATGTCTTCTGAGAGCAATTATTTCTAAACCAAGAAAAGTTTCATCTTTCACAAACTAAAAGAAAACCTTGACATCCCTAAAAAAGAGAAGAGTGGTATGCTGGAAATACATACAGACATGCGACTGTGCTTCTCCAGTTTGTATGATAATTAAGACTATAATTTATTGGTCAACTTTTGTCAGTGTTCACTCTGATCCAGACCTTAAATCTCATCAGGCTTACAAAGCATCTGCCATCAGATCACCTACAGTCAGACTGTCCCACTTCCTCCACACTGCTCAGGGTTATGATGTCAACTTCTTGGCCATTGGGATGCTACTTACTACTGTGGAACATTAATTTCCCAAATGCCATCTTAGTGTTCCAAAGAGGTACTAAAGCATACAGCATAGTCAACTTCAGGAAATGCCTTAACTTTGTACCAATACACTTTAGGTGTATAAATCAACACATGCTAATCTCATTCCCATTCTGCCAGACACACTGAGCTTTAAAAATAATAGTAGTGGCTCAGTGTGGTGGCTTGCTCCTATATCCCAGCACTTTGGGAGGCCGGGGCAGCCGGATCTCTTGAGGTCAGGAGTTTGAGGCCAGCCTGGCCAACATGGTGAAACCCCCATCTCTACAAAAATACAAAAACTAGCTGGACATGGTGGTGCACTCCTGTGGTCCCAGCTACAGGGATGGGAGAATCACTTGAACCCAGGAGGTGGAGGTTGCAATGAGCTGAAATCACCCCACTGCACTCCAGCCTGGGAGACACAGCGAGATTCTGCCTCAAAAATAAAATAAAATAAAATAATAGTGATAACAATGCATAATATACATATAAAATAATCTGTAATATTATACTTATGTACATACATATACATATATTATATATGCATAAATCCAACAATCAATAATACATAATAATGTGTCATAAGTGGTAGACAGCTGCACTTGTGAATACTTTCACTTGTATCTACATAGAAGAAAACACTAATTACCAGACGCCTGGCCACACTCCCCGATGCCTCTAGGGTATGCTCTATCAGGATTGCCTGCAGGTATTTCATATTTCCCAGGCTTCCTTAAGCTTCCTTTCTCTGCATTTTAATTATTTTTCCCAAGATAATGAGCTATATAAATAAAGCTTTTGTAAATATGTAAGTAAATCCATAGCTTTTAAAAGGAGATAAACATTTGAATGATTTACCATTACCCTGGAGATTATAAACAAGGTCATCTATCACTAGATTTTTCTTTAGCTTATTGTCAGCCCGTTACTATCTGTTCCTTTCCTTTTCCCCTTCTATTCTGAGCCCTATTCAGTCATCCTGATTGCTTGTAGATGCAAGTCTTTCCTTACATCTAGTAAAGAAGACAAAAGGAGAAATTTCAGCTCTGAAAACACTAGGTAAAGGCCCTACCCTCAATACTTGTAGACAGACTGTTAGAAGTCCTTAGTGATTTCAAAACTGCAAAGCATTTTAAAAATTACTTTAAAACATTAAAACAATGTTTTAGGACATTTTAAGACATGTATATCTTTTCAGATATCTGAAATTTTATCTTCATTCCCCAAAATGACCAGTAGTTCCAGCCAAACTGCCAAAAAGAAAGGCCACCATTCCCATTTCAGATGTCCATACATAACCCTTTTGGGAGTAATGTTAAGCCATTATCCACAACCTTTTTAAAAGAAAGATGACATTGGATTACAGAAAATTGACACAGTCCTTTCCCAGCCATGTCCATTTCCCTGCAATGTGATTGCTCCCGTAAAGAGGCTATGTCTCTTCTCCGTGACCTGTGACTGTGACTTTAGTCAACAACTTAAATCTTAAGATGCCTTGTGGATTTCCTCTCTTTAATTCTCTTTCCTCTGACCCCCACCACATACATATAAGACCTCCCTGGTTTGGTGGCTGTTGAAAGACACATGACCCAGTTGTTCTCAATGTCCCAGCTGACAGCCAGCCAACCCCCAAAAGCAGGGCTGCCTAGTTAATAAGGAGCAGATACATGAGCAAGTCCAGTCAACTAAAAGTCTGCCCAGCTGTGCTCAACCTAAAATGCTGACCCTCAAAATCATAAGCTAATTCATTAAATTCAGGAATAGTTGGTTACATGGCAAAAGCTAACTGATACAAAGATCAACCAGCAATTTCTCTTTATATCCCACAAATGACAAAGGACTAAAGTAGTTCTACAAATCGAGGCAAGCCCTGGAATATTATTTGAAGCCAGTTATCATCAATTAAATTACAATAACATGCTCTACATACCTGTCACCAGGAAGAAAACCTGAAGATTCTTCTTCTCTCTTTGGTATGTCATAGGAATCAATGGGCCTACAAGATGGAAAAAGATTTTGTAGGCAAAATATTAGGCTTTAAGCCCTTCCTGAGTTTAAGAAAAGGGTATCAAAATAATGTCGTTCTAGCCTCTTTATGCAAACAGCCTTTGGGTTAAAAACGAAACATACAAAGGTATTTTAATGAATAACCAAAGAAAACAGACCCACTATTGCCAACAGACATTTGCCAAGCCATTCATTCACTCATTCATTCTACAAATGCATACTGAGTACCCATCATATTGCAGTATCACTCTAGGAATGGGCTACAGAGGTGTACAAAACAAACTTATTATTCTCGAAGCACTTATATTTTACTGCAGCAGACAGGCCAGCAGACAGGCCAACAGGTAAATAAATAAATGAGTAATATAAAACAAGGTAAGAGTATACAGGGAGAAGGACTGAGAAGCGGCCTGTATTTTAAATCAGGTATTCTAGAAAGTCTACGGAGGTGGTGTTTGAGCAGAGACTAGAAGAAAATGAGAACACCAGACACACAAATATTCAATGACTTCTCAAGCAGATGGACTAGAAAATGCCAAAGTCCTTGGGCATTTTCAGGGAAGAAACAGGAGGCCTGTGTGGCTGGAACAGAGTAAGGGGAATAATGGAGGTACTGCAAAGTAATCTAGCTCATGCCAGCCTTCTAGGTCATGGCAAGGATGCTGGATGGGGTTCTGATGTGACAGGAAGTGCTTTGGAGGGTTCTGGGCGGGGAAGCAAGATGACATGACAGGGTTTATGATTTAAAGGTTCTCTTTGGTGGCTTGTATTCACTAGTGTGGAGAATGCATGGTAGGAAAGAGGAAGAGCAAGGGGATGCCTTTGAAGTGGGGAATGCATACAGCTAAGCCAAGCTACCCTAACAGGCCTTGTGCCCTCTGGCCGTGGGGACAGACCTCCTGTACTGGTATATTCTGACTGATGTTTCCCGCTCTCTCTCTGCCTGGTGTTTCTGCTCCTCTGCAGGGCGCTTCTGCTCCTCAGCCTCAGCCTGAAGCCGCTTCCGCTCCTGCTCTTCCTGAAGCCGCTTCCGCTCCTGC